TGATCACAAATCACTCAGTTTTAATATATTATGGAATTCCCCTAATAATGGCAATCAAGTCTCTGTCCTTGACTTTCGCTTGGCTGATTTCATAGGACTGAAAAATGACTTAGGTGGGCTGAACTGGAATGACCTGACTAAGGGTCAGGTAGGTGGTGATGGTTGCCGATATGATGCTTTCCAGGGCATAGTTCTAGCTGCTCAGTCAAATTATGTTCCATATAGGGAAATCAGATCAAACAAAAATGATCCTAAATGGATGAACAATAGATTAAAATATCTGATTGGTCAAAAGAGAGGCATATATAGGCAAATCAAAAGAGGAGAGGGGCATTTAAGAAATCGATATATTCAGTTAAAGAGAGAAATAAAAAAGGGAATTAGAAAAGTAAAAAGAGATTATGAGGTTAAAGTTGCAAGAGAATCGAAGACTAACCCAAAAGGATTCTTTCAGGTATACAGAAGTAAGATCAGGGACAAGATAGGCCCACTCAAAAGTTCCTCGGGTCAGCTCACTGACAGTGATAAGGAAATGTGTAGAATTTTTAACACATACTTCCTCTCAGTTTTTACACAGGAGGATACCAGCGATATTCCAGAAATGATAAATTATGTAGAACAGGACGATAATAAACTGTGCACAATTAGGGTCACAAGTGACATGGTCCTTAGGCAAATAGATAAATTAAAACCTAACAAATCCCCAGGCTCTGATGAACTGTATGCAAGGGTTCTAAAGGAATGTAAAGAGGAGCTTAGCAAACCTTTGGCTAATCTTTTCAACATATCACTACAAACTGGCATGGTGCCAGATAAGTGGAAAATGGCAAATGTGATACCTATTTTCAAAGCAGGTGACAGGTCCTTAGCTTCGAACTATAGACCAATAAGCCTAACCTCCATAGTGGGAAAATTTATGGAATCAATAATTGCCGAGGCAGTTCGTAGCCACCTTGAAAAGCATAAATTTATCAACGAATCTCAGCATGGTTTTACAAAGGGGCGTTCCTGCCTTACGAATTTATTAACTTTTTTCACTAAGGTATTTGAGGATGTAGATCATGGTAATGAATATGATATTGTGTATATGGACTTCAGTAAGGCTTTTGACAGGGTCCCACATCAGAGACTATTGAGAAAAATTAAGGCACATGGAATAGGAGGAGAAATTTTTTCCTGGATAGAGGCATGGTTGACAAATAGGCAGCAGAGAGTTTGCATAAATGGGGAGAATCAGAGTGGGGAAGCGTCACGAGCGGTGTTCCACAGAGGTCCAGTGTTGGGCCCCTGCTGTTCACAATCTACATAAACGACATAGATGAGGGCATAAAGAGCGACATCAGCAAGTTTGCCGATAACACCAAAATAGGCCGTCGAATTCATTCTGACGAGGACATTAGAGCACTCCAGGAAGATTTGAATAGACTGATGCAGTGGTCGGAGAAGTGGCAGATGCAGTTTAATATAGACAAATGCAAAGTTCTAAATGTTGGACAGGACAATAACCATGCCACATATAAACTAAATAATGTAGATCTTAATGTGGAACACTCATCTTGATGGGAAGCGATTGTTGACGGAAGTTTTTTGCATATTGGTGTGGAACTCTTGTATTTTGGTGTGGAACGCCTGTATGTTAATGAGAAACACTTGCATTCATGTAGAACCTCTGTATGTTGACGTGTATTACAGGGACATTCAGAATCGACAATGTCTCTTGATGCTAAAGTTGAATTGTCGACAATAGTGAGGCAAAACTCGGGTTACGGATGACTCTGTCACTGACACAGCGATGCTGTGTAAAACTCTATTAAGTCATGACTCCAATGAGGCTCTTTTCGAGCGAAATGTCTCAAAAATCCTGGTGTCAGAACGTTTGTCTTCACTGTCGGCGACAGTACTGGTAGCCAATGATTTACTCATCTCTGAGTGTCTAAATCTCGTATTTATGCTGTCACTCAATTCTTTCGACTCCCTTCATTACTAGGAGGTTCATTACTAGTCTCAGACGTCACCTTTGCAGCAGTGTGTTGTTTGTACTAGTCTTATACACCACCTATGTAGCAGTTAAATGTGCAGTTATGAAAATAAAACCACCACTTTTGAAGGAAATAACTTCTGAGATACCAAAATATGAACGAAGTTATCATAAGAAACTTGAGCTTCTGTGATGAAATAAAGAATAAGCTTCTTACTCTGTTCTTAAATATATGTTACTCATTCGAGTAACACTGAAGACGAACTTTCTTCAGTGTTGAGTGTATACATAAACGTGTACATGCATGGGTAGCGTACCTAAATGTTTATGAGATAGAGAAAAGACACCAGCAATCCTCATCATGTATAACAAATGCAGGTTTCCGTTTTACATTCACTTGGCAGAACGGTAGTACCTCCTGGGCGGTTGCTGTCGGTTGTTGGTGGAATGACGAGGAAAAGGGTGCGATAAAAAGAGAAAAGGGTCGCTTATGAGTTTTTTTTTTTTTTTTTTTACAAAACAGAAGTGATATAAGATTGGTGGAGTATTTGGAGAGTAAAGAAAGGTGAAGAGAGTGGGGAGAGAGTGCAAAGGAGAGCAAATGATAGGTGGGTGAGACACTGTCAACAAATTTTGCTGAGATTAAGAAAAAAATTTGGAGTGAGATAAACAGGTTAAGAAAGCTTAGGAAACAAATGGAGTTGTCAGTTAAAAACTGAGTAGGGGAGTTAGTAGATGGAGAGCTGGAGGTATTGGGTAGCTGGCAGGAATATTTTGAGGAACTTTTAAATGTTGATGAAAAAAAAGTTTATAATCCATAGTATTAGTAGTCTGAAAGCAAATAATGTTAAGTTGGCCCATAATGCCTAGGCATAATAGAGGCTCTCTTTGCATTGCAACCCATTATTGTAAATACAAAATCTCAATGTACTGTTTGCAAAGACATAAAACAAATAAAAATAAAAGGAGGCAGTAATTTCATGCACTGGTCAGGGAGGTATAACATTTTTAGGAGTGAAAAGAGAAGGATGTGAGTGTGGGGAGGTGCATGAGCATTATGTAGAATGAAAGGGGGTAAAGCAGCTGGATCTGTCCGGAACATGAAAAGAAATGTTAAAAGCAGGAAGGGGAGGGGGGGTTTATAGTGTTAGAGTAGTTGGTATTATTGTCTAATAAATGAATGGAAGAGGGAAAGGTACCTAGGGATTGGCAGAGAGCGTTTTATAGTTCCTTTATATGAAGGAAAGGGGGGAAAAAGAGACTAAAATATACGGGGGAAATAAGTTTACGAGGTAAAGTGTAGTGGTAGGTATTACTAAAATAATTAAGGTAAGACAGAGAGCAGGATTGCAAAATGAAAAAGGAGGCTTAGAGTGGGTAGGGGATGTGTAGATCAAGTGTTTACACTGAAGCCATATATGTGAACAGTATTAAAGGTAGGGAAGTTTTCAATGCATTTATGAATTTAGAAAGGCTTTGATAGAGTGGATAGGGAGCAATGTGGCAGATTTTTACAAGTATATGGAAAAAGGTAGGGAAGTTACTAAAAGCTGTGAAGAGTTTTTTATTAGGATAGTGAGGCTCAGGTTGGGTGTGCTGGAGAGAGGGAGATTACTTTCCAGTAATAGGAGGTCTTAGACAGGGATGTATAATGTCACCATGGTTTTCTAACTATTTATAGAAGAGTTGTAAAAGAAGTATAAATACTGGGGGCTGGAGAGAGGGGTGGGATTCAATTATGAGGAATCAAATACAAAAAGGGAACTGACACAGTTTCTTTATGCTGGTGAAAAAAGTGCTTTTGGGAGATTCTAAAAAAAGTTGCAGAGGTTAGTGGACGAGTTTGAGAGGGTGTGTAAAAGCAAAAAGTTGAAAATGAATATAGATAAAAGTAAGGTGATGAGGGTATCAAACGATTTAGATAAAGAAAAAAACAGATATCAATTGGAGGAGATGGAAAAAGCGAAGTGTTTCAATATTTGGGAATTGACTTGTCAGCGGATGGGTTATGAAGGATGAGGTTAACCATAGAATTGATGAAGGAAAGAAGGTGGGGGTGCGTTTAGAATCTGTGGAGACAAAAAACATTATCATGGAGGCAAAGAAGGGAATGTACAAGAGTGTTGTGTACCAACATCTTATATGGGTGTGAAGCTTGGGTGGTAAATGCTGCAGGAGGAGGCGGTGGAGGCAGTGGAGATGTCGTGTCTAAGGGCAATGTGTGGTTACTAGAGTTTACCTGGAGAGGGTTTCGGGGGTCAACGCCCCCGCAGCCCGGTCTGAGATCGGCCTCATGGTGGATCAGGGTCTGATCAACCAGGCTGTTACGGTGTAAAATTTTATGCAGAGAATTCGTAGTGTGGAAAAAAGGAGGAGGTGTGGGGTTACTAAAAGTATTAGTCAGAGGGGTGAAGAGTGAGGGTTTTGGTTTATTTAGAGAGAATGGAACAAAGATTGATTGGGAGCGTATAAATCCGTAGGGGAAAGGGAAGGCGGGGTAAAGGGGGCGCCTCGAAAAGGTTAGGGGGGGGTTTAAAGGAGGTTTGGGAGCGAGGGGCTTGGACTTCCAGCAAGCTGAGGGAGCTTCTTAGATAGAAGTGATGGAGGGGGCAAATCGTTTTTGGGCCTGACGAGCTGTTGGAGTATGACAAGGGTAATAGGTTATGAAAGGATTCATGGAAACCTGTTAGCCGGGACTTGAGTCTGGAAATGGGGGTTTGGGGATATTGGCAGTTTGGAGGGACATCTGGTCTGAGCACCTCTGCAAAGCAGTCTTAGGTATGAGTGATGTGAAAGTGTTGAATGATAAAAGTTTTTCTTTCTTTTTGGGTACCCTGCCTCGGTGGGAAACGGCGACGTGTTAAATATATAATTAATATATATATATTTATATATATATATATATATATATATATATAAAATTATATATATAAAATATATATATATATTTTATATATATATATTTTATATATATATATATATAAACATTTCAGTGATGCAGTGATGCCAGACCCTAACTCACCTTGAGGTATATGCATAATAGCTACAGTGATGCCAGACAAAACGTCTCCTAGCAGGGATGATCGGAAGTCGTATGAAGGCAGCCAAGAGAGGATTGGAAACCCCCGCAGAATTGCGACTTAAACATCTTCCAGAGCACGCACATGATTTCTTGAATTATTTGAAGAAATCTCAAAAAGTCCGTAAATATAAAGCACAAAATATAATTATCCAGAGGAATTTTAAGATTTTCTTGTACTGGGAAAATTTTTCGAAACCTATGCAGAAACATTTAGCACCAGGAAGGAAAAATATCGAACTGGTGAACAACTGCATACTGTACGAGGCTGAAAATTTTCATAACTGACGTATTAATTCCATCCTGTTTGATAAAGTATGTCAGGGCAATCTAGTTAGTTGAAAGTTAAGACACATGTGCAACATCTGGATATCTTTATTGTAGACGTTTCGCCATCCAGTGGCTTTATCAATACAGATTCTAGGACATAATGGAAGACAGTAGAACTATATACAAAAGATGAGGTAATCAGTCCCTCGGCCTTGTATATAGTTCTACTGTCTTCCTATTATGTCCTAGAATCTGTATTGATAAAGCCACTGGATGGCGAAACGTCTACAATAAAGATATCCAGATGTTGCACATGTGTCTTAACTTTCATATTGTCGGTATTTTTATACCTTTCTTGCACATCTAGTTAGTTTTCTGTCTCCTTATGTAACAGTTACCATGTAATTTTTTATTACGGGAATGCGATCACTGGCTTCACAGGTGCGAGAAATTGTCGCTCCACAAGGCAGCAAATGTTAAACAAAATCCTTCACTGTATAAGTCACTGGATTTATAAGAGATACAGCTGCTGGCACAACCAGGTTTATTGAGGATACGTGACACAAAACAGTATTGAAGGTGATGATATCATAAGAACATAAGAAAGGAGGATCACTGCAGCAAGCCTGTTGGCCCATACTAGGCAGGTCCTTTACAATCCATCCCACTAACAAAACATATGCCCAACCCAATTTTTAGTGTGAAATTAAGACACATGTGCAACATCTGGGTATCTTTATTGTAGACGTTTCGCCATCCAGTGGCTTTATCAATACAAATTCTAGGACATAACTTGAAGACAGTAGAACTATGTACAGAAGATGAGGTAATCAGTCCCTCAACCTAGGAGTAGGTGCGAAGAGCACCATAGTCGTGAAGATTCTGAAGCAGAAGAAAGGAGCCTGGCACTTATATAGTAACGTCAGGTGTAGCAGACGAGGGCATAGTCACTGGTAGGAGGGATTCCCCAGTGGAAGTAGGTCCTTCCCAAAGAGATGGATTAGTTGTAGTAGTAGTTGTCGTAGTCGTGAAGGTTATGTACATGTTGAGGGACTGATTACCTCATCTTCTGTACATAGTTCTACTGTCTTCAAGTTATGTCCTAGAATTTGTATTGATAAAGCCACTGGATGGCGAAACATCTACAATAAAGATACCCAGATGTTGCACATGTGTCTTAATTTCATCTTGTCGGTATTATATACCATTCTTACACAATTTTCAATGCTACCCAAAAAATGATCTCTGATAACTCTATCCACTCATTTGCAAATCCCACTCAAATCCAACCCCTCTCACTCATATATTTATCCAACCTAAATTTGAAACTACCCAAAGTCCTAGCCTCAATAACCCAACTAGGTAGACTGTTCCACTTATCAACTACCCTATTTCCAAACCAATACTTTCCTATGTCCTTTCTAAACCTAAACTTGTCTAATTTAAATCCATTACTGCGGGTTCTCTCTTGGAGAGATATCCTCAAGACCTTATTAATGTCCCCTTTATTAATACCCATCTTCCACTTATACACTTCGATCATGTCTCCCATCATTCTTCGTCTAACAAGGGAATGTAATTTAAGAGTCTCCAATCTTTCTTCATAAGGAAGATTTCTAATGCTATGTATTAATTTAGTCATTCTACGCTGAATGTTTTCTAACGAATTTATATCGATTCTGTAATATGGAGACCAGAACTGAGCTGCATAATCTAGGTGAGGCCTTACTAATGATGTATAAAGCTGTGTTGTTAGGTAAGACACATATGCAACAGTTAGGTATCTTTATTATGAAACGTTTCGCCTACACAGTAGGCTTCTTCAGTCAAGTACAGAAAAGTTGATAGAAGCAGAAGATACTTGAAGACGATGTAATCAGTCCATCACCCTTAAAGTTTTGAGGTGGTCAGTCCCTCAGTCTGGAGAAGAGCATTGTTCCATAGTATGAAACAATATGGAGAAGAAGTGACAGGATGGAGCTTTTTATAGCGCCAAGAGGTGAGACGTAGGCCACTAGGAGAGGTCTCACCTCTTGGCGCTATAAAAAGCTCCATCCTGTCACTTCTCCATATTGTTTCATACTATGGAACAATGCTCTTCTCCAGACTGAGGGACTGACCACCTCAAAACTTTAAGGGTGATGGACTGATTACATCGTCTTCAAGTATCTTCTGCTTCTATCAACTTTTCTGTACTTGACTGAAGAAGCCTACTGTGTAGGCGAAACGTTTCATAATAAAGATACCTAACTGTTGCATATGTGTCTTACCTAACAACCTGTCGGTATTTTATACCATTTTAATGTTCAATGTATAAAGCTGCAGTATGACCTCTGGACTTCTGTTGCTTACACTTCTTGATATAAATCCCAGTAATCTATTTGCCTTATTACGTACGCTTAGGCATTGCTGTCTTGGTTTAAGGTTGCTGCTCACCATAACCCCCAAGTCCTTTTCGCAATCTGTATGGCTAAGTTCTACATTATTTAATTTATAAGTGCTAGGGTTATGGACATTCCCGAGCTTCAGAACCTTGCATTTATCTACATTGAACTGCATGTGCCACTTTTCTGACCAAGAATAGAGTTTGTCTAAATCCTCCTGAAGTTCCCTGATATCTACGTTTGAATCAATTATCCTACCTATCTTTGTGTCATCGGCGAATTTGCTCATATCACTAGTAATACCCTCATCAAGGTCATTGATATATATTATAAACAACAACGGGCCTAAGACTGATCCCTGTGGTACACCACTTGTTACAAACCCCCACTCGGATTGAACCCCATTTAAGCATACTCTCTGCTTCCTATTAGTGAGCCATGACTCGATCCATGACAGCACTTTTCCCCAATGCCATGAGCTGCCACTTCTTTTAACAGTCTCTGGTGCGGTACTCCATCAAAAGCCTTACTAAAATCTAAATAAACAATATCGTATTCTTTATCATGATCAACGGCCTCAAAAGCTTTACTGAAGAAGGTTAATAAATTAGTTAGGCAGGAACGGCACCTCGTGAATCCATGCTGAGTATCATTAATCAAGCTATGCTTATCGAGATGGCTTCTTATATTATCAGCTATAATTGACTCTAGTAATTTGCCTACAATTGAGGTTAGGCTTATTGGGCGGTAATTTGACGGTAACGACTTGTCCCCTGTTTTAAAAATAGGAATTACATTAGCCATCTTCCACATATCAGTCACTACACCTGTTTGAAGAGAAATATTAAAAATATTAGTCAATGGTTCACAAAGTTCCATTTTACACTCTTTAAGAACCCTTGAAAGAAGTTCATCAGGGCCCGGGGATTTATTTTGCTTTAACCGGTCTATTTGTTTGATAACCAATTCAGTAGTGACTGATATTGCATAATTTATCATAATCAGGCCCATGTATTTCCCACTTCTATCTACGAAGCAACATTTTTCTCATCCTGTGAGTAAACTTCTGCCGTAATGACAAAGTCAACCCAAATAGTTTAAATTCGAATTGAAATTCAAATTTTGATTTCCTTGCCAGTTTACAATGTGTAACTGACATGTTATAAGGAGTCTATTTCCATGCATAGTTTAAAATGCTAAATTACAATATTGATTTGCAAGTGCAAAGAAAACCCCTATCATGCCGAGGCTTCTCGGGCAGACTGAACCTGAAACATTAAAGCCCCTTTGAGGCGGAGTAGATGGCAGACCAGAGGCCTAGCTTCTCCCTACGAGCCCCGTGAGGGCGGGGAATGTGGCTAGGCCCTGGGGACACTTGGTCCCAAAGAAGAGGAGGTACTGTACCTCCTCCCATGGGAGACTTAAGTCTCGAGACACTCCCCAGATAGGGAGCCAAGGCCGGGTCACCACTACTTGGAAAAGACCCGGGCCGGGAGAATACCGGCGAATAAAAAAAAAAAAAAAAAAAAAAAATTAAAGACTATACTAAATACTAGATATGTCACAGTTGGTTCGACTTGAACATTATTTTTTTATATATCAACAGAGATAGTTACAGTATTATATTTTAGCACTTGGCAAACTTAATATTAACTTTAGATTAGTAAGGCATTAACAGATAATTATGTGGACATTTGATGAATTATAGTCAGTACAATAAGAATATAAGAATATAAGAAGGACCACTGCAACAGGCCTACTGGCCTATGCGAGGCAAGTCCAATTCTCCCACCGGCTTAAGCCAATGCCTTGACCTAGTGAGGTCAGACACGTCACTTAAGGGAAGAGCACGGCGTCCGGCCTAGTAGCACAAGCTAGTCAGGTCCAACTCACACCCACCCACACCCACTCATAATTAAAGGTTTAAAGTTAGTTTATAAAAATTACGTTATTACAAACAATGGTACAATTTGAATTATTTTATAATGTGGAAATATTACAATGGAACAATTTAATAGCAATGAATTCCAGATCTTAGGGCCCTTATGTGCACAGCATTTTTACATAGGGAGAGATGGACACGAGGGATGTCGAGGAGTGATTTGTCTTGTATTATGGCTGTGTGTTCTGTTGTAGTTATTAAGGAGGAGTTTGAGAGGAGGGTTTATATTTGAGTATAGTGTTCTGTGTATGTAGTAAGCACAATAACTAGTGTAGATGTTTTGTATATGAAGCAAGTTAAGACTCTTGAAAAGCAGCGGAGTATACTGTCTAGTGCTGGAGCAGGTAATCAATCGGACTGCAGCATTTTCTTGGGTTATTAAAGGTCTGAAGTGATTTGCTGCGTTTGAGCCCCATACACAAATACCATAGGTGAGGTAAGGGTAATTGAGAGTGTGGTACAGA